CCATCATACGATGAGTTCGACGACAAGCGACTCTCTCTTTCCCCGGAACAAGAAGCGGTCGTTGAGCTCGCCGCCATGGGCCACAACATCTTCTACACAGGCTCCGCTGGCTCAGGCAAATCGACCGTCTTGCACGCCATCAGGGACCGTCTCCGGCGTCTTAATCGGCGAGTCCGGGTCGTAGCTCCCACCGGCAAAGCAGCATCCAACGTCAATGGTATTACCACCTGGTCCTTTGCCGGCTGGAGTCCAAGCCTGACGAATCAAAGCATTATTGACCTGATCCTGTCCGCATGGTACGACGACCTGGTCATCGACCGCATCAGGGCCACAGACGTCTTAATCATCGACGAGATCAGTATGGTCGAGAACCACCATTTCGAGCGCCTCAACACCGTCTTCAAGGTTCTTCGCGCCGACGGTCGACCCTTCGGCGGGGTCCAGATCATCGTCGTAGGCGACTTCTGCCAGCTTCCGCCTGTCCTGCCCTTCCAGCTCTGTTACCAATGCGGTTCGAAGATGACCATCAAGGGGAAACAAGGCCGGTTCTCCGCGCGGTATACATGCGACCCTTGCAATCTCGCCTTTTCCGACTCTGAGAAATGGGTGTTTCAATCCCGGGCGTGGCAAGAATGCAATTTCACTAATATCCACCTACAATCCATTCACCGACAGCGCGATCCCAAATTCATTTCCATACTTGAAAAATGCCGGATCGGCGTCCGTTTGACCCCTCAGGAAGTCGAGACACTCGTCAACCACCGCTCCGACACCAAGAACGCCACCAGGCTCTACTCGCGACGCGTCGAAGTCGGCATCGTCAATGAACAGGAATTCAAAAAACTTCCCGGGTTCGCCTGGACGTACCGCGCCTGCGACTCCTTCCACTGGCAGCGCAAGCTGCACCCAACTCTAGGCTACCTCAACGAAAGCTACCCAGACGGCACGCTCAAGGCCCTCCAGGACCAAGTCCTGCAAGCCAAAGTGCAACTCAAAGTCGGCATGCCAGTGGTCCTCTTCCAGAACCTCGACGTCCCGCGCGGTCTCTGCAACGGCAGCCAAGGCATAATCGTCGACTTTGAACCTTTCGACTCCAACCGATACCTCAAGGAGCAAATCCCCGATGGCCTCACCGACCACCCCTACGCCGAAATCATTCTCAGCGAAGGACACGTATTCTCCAAGCATAACCGCCTCCAAGGCGGGGCGTGGCCGGTGGTCCAGTTCGCCAACGGAGAGGCACGCACGATCAAGCCCGTAACGCGCATCACCGAATTCGGCAGCAAAGAACCATACTCTCTACTCATTCGAACGCAGATTCCACTGGGCCCCGCTTGGGCGATGACGATTCATCGCGCGCAGGGCATGACGATGGATCGGGTGATTGTCGACTTGACGTCGGCGTTTGTTATGGGACAGGCGTACGTGGCTCTTTCGCGGGCGAGGTCGCTGGAGGGGTTGAAGGTGGAGGGGGATACGAAGCACTTACTTGCGGGCATGGGCATGGACAAAGCCGTGAGAGAGTTCTTGACCAGGACTTTTGGGACAGGGTGGACTGGAGGTCGTATGTCTGAAGTGTACTCGCTGCCGGCGATGCGGTATACCCTACCACTCGCTGGGCCAGGTACAGGCGGAGTGTCTGATGTAGATCCACCTGCAATGGAGGCGGGCGGCGCCTCGTGATAGTGTTCAGTACATATCCCATCACCCCTCGTAGGTTCGCTGGTCTGTACCTAGCTGGGTTTCGCCCTCCTCCAGCCGATGTGGATAAGATGTAAGTACCAGGATATATCGATGATTGAATTAAAGAGTACATGTGTTTTGGTCACGGATGTTATAAAAAGATCAACGCTCAGTAGCATGTCGCGGTTTAGCTAGGAGCTGAACGCCATTGTTCTCGATTTACTAAAGATTTATCCATGTTGCTTTAGTCCTACGATGCACAAGTGTTGGTACTTCCTGTCTCGCCTGTGTTCCCTGCGCTATATTTCACTTGGTCTTTATCCTCCTGGGCTAGTAAAAGTGCAACTGGTCAGCTTTCAGCTCTTACTATTGATCTGGAGGCATCATCTGAATCTTTTTTAGATCCCACTCTTAATCATCCTCCTGTCTCTGGCTATTTGATCACCAGAATATTCTGACTCCAACACATCAATGTCATCATTCTCGCAGACTCTGCACACCTATGACAGCTCTCTGGACAAAGTGCTCTCGCCAACCTTATACTGATACTCTCATCAATCCTGAGGCCTCCTTTGGCCCTCTTTTCCCGCAGGTTCGTGACCGCGGCTTAACCCAATATTTTCTGTTCCAAGTTGAAACTCAACATGCTTCTCACCACATCCACCTCCCCGGCAAGCTCGTCGAAACCTGTCCCTGCAGCTGCCCTTGGTATATCCGGCATAGTGTTTGTTACCGCTGGGTTAGCTGTCGCTCTGTCCATGAGCCCCTTCTTTTTACTTGCTTATGTCGTCCCTTGATTGCGTCCAACGTCGAGGCCTGACCATGAATGTGGTCGAAAACATGACGGATGGATTGGTGGGAAGTGGTTGGCTTCCATCCCAATCACTCGCCTTAAGTAGGACTACAAGTCCCATGAGGCCAACGGAATGAGAATGTACCTAGTCAAACCAACTGTTGTGTTCCCAAGTTAAAAGGGCCTTTACGATGTTGGGGTGGTTAAGTCGGGCGTCCCAGTTCGGGCACTGGACTAACAGCCGTTACAGTTCAACCCTCATTTGGTACCTCTTGCTGGTCGTTCAGCATAATCAATATGTAAAGGAACATTAAACCATTCACTGAACAACTGTGGACATGATGTCCCTCACGCATACTGATGACCTGTGTCAGTCGGTCATCAACACCAGCCCTGATTTCAGGATATCTTCGCCACATCAACAACTTGCGCGCTGGAAAAGCAATGTGTCAGCTGTGCTGGGGACGAGTTAGGTGCCAGTCCTGAACTCACCTCTCAGACCACGACGACTGGTGGTCTCAGGGGCAAGACTTCAGATCGCCATTCACCTCAGTCAGGCTCGTCATGGGCAAATTATGATCGTCAGTTGTAATCTTCTCAAGGCCGAAAAATACCAACATCATACTTATTTCCCAAACTCTAACCATTCCGCTATACCATGGAAAAAGGCAAAGAAGCCAAGTTGGCCAGGTAAGCTTGTGGAGCGAACCACAATGCTCTGGCTCCAACCCTCCGAAAACTGTGATGAGAAGAGGAGAAGGGAAGTCTGTCGACCGACTACAAGTCTGGAAGGCACGTGATTTGGGGTGACCGAGAGTATGGCGGCAGGTGCTGCTTTCTTCTTGAAACTGGAGGGTTCTGCCAAAGTCAACCACCGGAGACATGATCACACGCCCCTAGGTCATCTGTCTTGAAGCAATTTCCGCCAGAATATTCAGTCAGCTCACAAACTCTCGCGAGCCTTTGAATTTTTTAGTCTCGATTTTCACAAATGGAATCACTTCATGTTACGTACGGAAGGAAGAACCTCGCATGCCTTCCGTTGATATCCACTCGTCCTTTTGGAGTTGAGTTATTCGCAACTTCTGAATGAACATCCCATCGACGACAGATGGAAGGCACCGGTTGTCCACCACTCATGCAATGCTGACACTTTCACTTGTTTCTCGAACTGAAAGCTTCATCAGGGAAGTGCGCAGTGGTGGCAAGCACATGGGGAAGGTACGAGCCAGCATCTAAATCATAATGTCCCTTCCTACTCCCCAAAGGGTCTCGGTTCTTTCCTTCTTCGCGAAGACAGGACAAGCACATGACTAAACTCTGACGGCGCCTTCCAGTTTTGATTTCAGGGGCTCCGATCTTTTTAGGCCGGAGAACTTGAGAGAATACGAAATATTTGATGTCCGGCTGGTTCTGTCAGAAGAGATTATTGACTCAACTATGCAACTGACTTTTTCGCAAGCTCCTCCACGGTATACGATGCACAACTTGTCTTATCGCCTACCAAAAACATTTACATCTCCTTCACGGGCTTTTCCATACGATCCAGCTTCGAGCATTGAAATTGCCATTTTTCTGCCAATTCCTGATCGCAATTGTCATCCAGTGTTAGATGGCCCGTACCAAGAAAAGGTTTTTAGATGGCAGCTTGTTAGCTCCCAAGCCGTGACCGAACTAGGGAATACCGGGCAGTGTCATTTGAGGCTGAAAAGAGGAATCATCTCTCACACAGATAGGAGGTGTTGAGGTAAGAAACAGCAAGTTATTCTCGAGTGACTGAGGAGTGTCCTCGTTCTAACCGCCTGTTTTCCATCTCCAGATCACAGCTGCGCGGTCCGGGCTTGCCACTCCGCCCTAAAAAAACGATTCATGGCATACCGATACATGAAGTCATCATCATCACGGCCACCAACAGGCGCGCTCGACCTCGCATCTTCACATCGGACCCTAGAACCACCCGAGAATGCCATGTGGCTGGAGCTGGATAGAGGGGCGCTCCATCTCTTGCCTTCGACAGCTGCATCTAGATGTTTACGATCAGTCCATGACATGTTCTGGAAAGAGGCACCCTATGAGATCACTTCCAGGTTTCTCCAGATTTTCCATTTTTGGATAGGCTCATCCTCCGCAAAACCTTTTTTTTTTTTGCACCCTGACAAACCCCGGAAAACCCCGGATCGTCAACACTTCACCCTCGCATCGCAGTGTGCTCATGAGACCCCTGGACCTGATCGACACTTCCCTGCAAGGCACTACCACAGTGGCTTAAATTTAGGACTTGATCTTCAAGACGTTGTGGCTTCCTGCCACGACCTCGGCGGTCTTGATGTCATCAAGGCTGAGTCTGCCCTCTACGGATGCGATGCCGCCAAGCCCACCTTCATGGCTTCTGTGACGGCAGTGATGGTCCTACACTAGCGCTTCTGTCCCTGTTCCTGACGGGAATGACTTCACCACCATCACCACCACCACCACCGACACTGTTACCCCGGATAGCTCCACCTTCATCTCTGACTGTGTCGTCATGACCTTCAGCACTGTCGTCCCCTCCAATACTGACAGTGTTCCTGGCCCTGTCCCTCCGGCCCGTATTGTGAGGAGAGCTGGGAGTGCGCATCTGAGTTTGCTGCCGTGCCCCAGTGCGCCGTTTCTATTATTGAGAAGACCGCCCTTGATTTGGGCTGTGCTTCTGATGATTACTAGTGCGAATGCACCAACGCTGAGAAAATCCAGCTTACCATTGTCGTGGAGGTTCTGGGCGCTTGTGAAGCCAGCGTGATCAACGACGTCCTTTTTTTCCGTTGAGACCCTTTGCAAGTGTGACTTCGCCAAGCCAACTTTCACCGAGTGCGGCTCCAAACCAGGCCCTACCGGCGGCAGCAGCGCTGACCCCGTCACCACTACCTCTGCTCCCGTCTCTGGCCGCGGCTACGGCGGTGACTCAGGTCCTTCCAGCTCTGGCTCGTCCCTCTACCCTGCCGCTATCTCTGTCCCTGGGGGTCACTGCGGCATCGACAACTGGGTTTGCGCTGAGCAGTTCAAGGCTATTTTCCAGTGCGCCATCAGCTTCATCCAGGACGCTGCCGTTTCCGTTGGCTGCAAGAAGGGTGAATAAGGAGGAGACTCAAGGTCTTGTCTCAACAATGTCCTGTCTGGTTGCGGTGTCACCAAGGACGCCCAGGTAATCTCGACCGTCAAATTTCTGCGCCTGCAACGCTCCCGCTCCTACCTCTACCACTTGCGGTGCTGTTGCCCGGCACTGATGCGTTACCCTAATGACTGCCATCTTTGCTGTTCTTCTTCGAGTTCAGTCAGTGCGGGAAAAACATGATGGACTTGTTTCTTTGTACTTTTTCTTCTCCAGGTATTCTGGAACGAGGAAAGCTGTTCTGTACATGATGGCTTGGTGAACCTTGATGCTCAATTGAGACAAGTGTTGACGAATGTCTGCTGCCAAAGTGCCTGTTTGGTTTTGCGAGTGAGTGAGTGATTGCCTGCAGGGGGGAAATGGAAGTGAGCTGGTATGACGTACTTGTCTCTGTTGGTTGTTGATCACCAACGTTCGCGGTGGTTGCTGCAAGGTGTGGAGTTGGAAAGGAGGTCGGTGTTTCTTTGACGACACTCGTTGGACAGAGCGCGGAGTTAAGCCTCACTTGGCTATGACGACATATGTTGATTTGCGCTGGAATGACTGCTCGATCTGCTTTCAATTGATCTTTTTCCGATCCGCGATGGTGAGATTTCAACTTGGGCCTGAGTTGACTATAGCGACGTTGTTGACTTGACGTGGGCACAAACGCTAAGATCGGCTTTCTATTAGTCTGCATGCTAATGATGCCCTTGAGAGATCTCACAAAGCGGCTACCGGTCATGGTGTGTTTGTCGGTGTGCCGTTGTGATGGAGGACTGCACGGCACAGCACAGCACGCTTGGCCCCGATCGCTGGCCAGTCACAAGCCAGTGAGCGGTGTGACTTTTGGCGGAATGCCCGGACAGGAAGGCCGCAGAAATGGCCATGACCGCCAAGGTGTTTACTTTCGGAGCGCCGTCATCCGCGATAATCTCCCATCAATCGGAGAGCTTCCATCGTCTAAGTGCTGAGCCAACATGCCGCTTCGGGCATCCCGACTTCCTCTTGGCGCCGTACCGCGTCCCTCACGCGCCTTAGCAGCATGACCAACATGAACTCCTCCAAAGTGAGCCAAGACACACATACATAATCACATCGCCGAGAGACTGCGATCCCGTTGACGACACGCCCGCGCAGAGCGCGGAGGTTTGCTGTCAATGGCTGCCAAGTGTGTTAACAGCGTTTACGGCGGAGTTCAGCGGACTTACTGATGGCGTCTTTCAGGATCTGTTAGTGTCTGTTAGTGGCATTGCTGGGCCCATTCCTCTCTCTCCGCCTCCAGCATCCCCGCGGTCAAGGCTGTGTTTTGTCCATCACAGTCCACATGGAGCTGTTTCAGGACGAGGAGATCTGGGGAAGGAAAGACATCGCTGGGGTTGATGGAGTTGTTCTCGCTGGCCATCAGGGTCGGTTGTAGCGGTTAGGCGGGGCAGGCCCGCCCGCCCACGGGGCTCCATCTCAGACGGGTTTTCCTCCTTCAGCAGCGGCGGGGGTTTGTTTTGATGTTGAAAATCTGGCTGAAGAGAAAAAGGGGGGTTTACATATTTGTTGTGTTCCTGGCTGTTGTTGCGGGCTCAAAGGTCCGTCCAATCCTTGTGATTCACTGAACACCGTGCCTCCTTCAATTTCTTCTTATCATTTTCATCTTTTTCTTTCTTTCCCCTTCATTATTCGTCTTTGTTCGAGGTGGCCGTGATGGGGACTGGTAACATCGAGCCCATTCAAGCAACAAACCCAATGGCAAAGGAAATTTCCGACACATGGGCTTAACGTGGGCAATATCCAACACCCCATCGTCGCAATCTCTGTTATCTTTGACCCCTGAAAACGGGTTCCTGTCACACTGCCTGTCAAATACTCTGGGCGCGGGTAGGAAATGCTTTCCGTCTGGAAAAGGAGATGATCACCATTGCATTGCCGCACTTTTAGGCGTTTCTAGCCGTTTTTAGAACTTCTTGGGCAACCTCTTGGGCAACCTCTTGGACCAAGTCGGAGATATCAGTGGGCGTCTTGGCCTTCTGTTCAGGGTGTGGTGGCCGCCCTTGGCTTTTTTTCACCTTTTTAAACTGCTTGGCTCTGCTTGGCAAGGTATTGGGCGACGACGACTCACCTTAACGTCATCCATGCTTTTACTGCAACATTGTTACAGTATCAACCCCTGAAAGAAGAGCACCCCCCCAAAGTGCAAGTAACCCCCAAAGTGCACAAGGATTGGGCGGCCGGAATTGTCCTCCCATATAAAACCTGCAAACTGCAAAGTACATACTCTTTGATGAGGATTTGCATCTACAGGGTTTTGATCTTGGAATGAGAGAACATCTGACCCGGTTACTGGGGCTCTGAAGGCCGCCATTTTTTGATGTAGTTGGGTGCTCTGGTGTGGCCAGAAGTTGTCTTAGACTATGGTCTGTGCACCAGATGCCCCGAGTGCAAAACACCCACAAGGTGCAAAGAAATCTGGGGGCCCCAACTGTTAGAGCTTTCAGGGGTTGACACTGGAGTGTATCTTTTGTCTTCGACCCCCTCCCCTCCCCCCCTTCTTCCTCCTCCCCCCCCCTTTTCTTTTTTTCTTCGCTGAGCCTCAACTGACTGTAACAACATGTGTAGCATCTCAGAGAGCCAAGACCGGCCAAGAAAGTGAGAAACATAGCCAAGAACGGCATTTTCTAGTAAACGGCTCCCGTGAAGTCGAGATGAAGCCGGGAGTCTGTTTTAAGACCCGTCCAGGCCGTCATGGACATGGGGGGCCCACATGGTAAAAGGTCCGACTTTGAAAGATTGCTGTTGTCGGAGCCATCAAGGTTCTGGACGTCTACCCACGTCGGGCATGTTATTGTTCAGGTTGTTGTCGAGAGTTGGTGGTATTTTGAATATCATCATCATCATCATCATCATCCATTTTGGTACTTCAGACGGTTTCTCAGCCATGGATGACGGAGTTATGATCTGCGATAAACTGTGTTCCTCGTGTTTTTTTTTGTTCAATTTTTTTTTCTCCGCTTCATCTACTTACTAAAAGTTCCGCTCGACGAATCGACTACGACGGACACAACACCACGCGCCATTCTCCTATCTTTTTGGGAGAAGCAAATCTCCTCTTGGCATCCTCGAGAATAGATACAGATACCGCAGATCACAAGAGTGGACCATCGGACCCCGGGAGTCGAGCCCCCTTGCCCCCCCCACCACGCCCCCTGAGCGCGATCTTCAAAGCCAGAGACAGGGTGCTGCGTAGCAGTAGACAAGGCACGGGTGTTGTATTCCCTGCACACAACTGCCGCTTTTTTGTCTGGGCATTCGCAGAACACCATCTAAGAGATAATGGATATCCTTCTTGGCATATGTCCCTGTTTACGAATCCATCCCTCCGCGGCGGTGCAGGATTTCCGAGAGGAATTCACCAGACCAGACATCAGTTTCGGAACGAGTCAGGTCGGGTCGAGGAGGGAAAAGAAAAAGAAGAAAGAAAAAAGCCACAGAAGAGCACCGTTTCAAGACCATGATATACTTTTCTCTTATAAGATCCCAGCCAACTCAAAACTGTAGCTGGGATCAGATATCTAGACCCCCGACACTCTAGGTATACCCAAGCAAGATTAACAAAAGCGGTCTGAGCCCGGAATAGATGCCCAGACTAACCACCATTTCGTGTATTTTCACTAGCAGGCCACAGTCCAACAGTGTGGATCGCTCGAGAAAAGGCCCAACTTCCGCCGACTTGTCTCGCCTCCTGGTTCGTCATTCCCTGCTACCATTCTGAAGCATCCCTATCATACACTGCATCTGCCAAGGTCTGCCCAGACATCTGGCGAACATCATGAGCATCGACAGCCTCGCGATGGACCCCTTGGCAAATATAGATCGACCAACCCAGCTTGAAACGTTTGGGCGACAGTTTACGCTTGCGAATCCTGGAGAGATTCGGGGGATGCGCCTCAGGGACTACAGGGGCCCACCCGGTGTGTGTTGCGTACGTGCGTGCTGTGCAGTCCGTCTGATGTGATGAGAAGGGGGTCTGGCGTCCAAGGTTTGGAGAAGGAATCATGGAGATCATGGAGTCCCTGGAGAACCTTAAAAGTAGACTGTCTCGACGCTCGGTTCTCTGACAATCCCCCCAATCCTCATCAGCTTCATTCGCTTCGACCAGCAGTTTCGTCTCCATCTTGATATATCAAGCCCATGATTCGACAGTAACCGACAGTAGCCAAAATACTTCCCTTACCCTCACTTCGACGCTCGGTCTGATCTGAAGTTTTTGGGTTGTCCATTTCGCTTGAACCACCGACTCCTTCATATCATTCGCGACTCCACGATACGCCCCACGATCTCGAATCTAGAAACACACCTTTCCCACAGTTTACACATTGCCGTGTCTTCCGTGGAGGCAAACAAACAAGCAGACAGATAGACGCCATCATGATGGGACAGTCCACCAACATGGGCAGCCAGGCTCCCATGCCGCCTTCTGTGCAGACGGGAGGGCACGTCATCATCCATGACACCACATACAACCAGAACCAACAGTCGCCAACACAACATCAACAACAAAACAGACTCAACCTAGTCGACACCTCCTTTCTCGGCTCCCACTCCCGGCAGTCCTCCTCCGCAACCGTAACCGGTGACGATTCTGACCCATCCCGCGCCTTCGGCACCTACGCCGGGACACCAAAGGGTGAGTATGAGAAGAAGGGCCGTTCAACCGATTACCTCTCCGGCCCCACCGGCGACAACTCCCTCAACACCTCGGCCGCCTCCTCCCGGTTAGCTCTCAACTCCAACAACGAGAAGTCCAACCACGATGGCCACATGTCCGGCGGCGCCGGCCAGCACCACCGCCGCTCCGCCTCCCCCTCTTCCTCCTCCGATTCCGACTCCGACCTTGAAGGTGCCGGCGGCCACATGCAAAAAGGCCATCACCACGTAGACCCCTACGACCCTTCCCGCCCAAAGCTACCACTCAAAGCGCGGCTAAAACACTTCACCTGGGCCTGGTACACCCTCTGCATGTCCACCGGCGGTCTCTCCCTCTTGATCGCCGCGCAACCACACACCTTCCCCGGCCTGCGCCAGATCGGCATGACAGTATACATCATCAACATCATCATCTTCGTCCTCCTGACCTCCCTCCAAATCACGCGCTTCATGCTCCACGCCGGCTCCTTCAAAGCCAGCCTCACGCATCCGCGCGAAGGCTTCTTCTTCCCCACCTTCTTCCTCAGCATCGCCACTTTGATCACCTCCACCCAAAAATACGGCACCCCTCCCGACAGTGAACCAAGCCAGGACCTCGTCTGGGTTTTGCACATTGCCTTCTGGATCTACCTCATCCTCGCCACCGCCGTCGCCATAGGGCAATACTCCTTCCTCTTCAGCCAAAAACGCTCCTTCTCCCTAGCCACCATGATGCCCACTTGGATCCTGCCCATCTTCCCCATCATGCTCTCGGGAACCATCGCAGCCGTCATCTCCCCCTTCCAACCCCCTCACCGCGCCATCGTCGTCATCTGCGCCGGCCTAACCTGCCAAGGTCTAGGCGCCGCCGTGGCATTCATGATGTACGCCCACATGGTCGGCCGTCTCATGTCCGTCGGCCTTCCCGACCGCGAACACCGTCCCGGTCTCTTCATGTGCGTTGGCCCGCCCTCCTTCACTGCGCTAGCATTCATCGGCATGGCGCAGGGACTTCCGCGGGACTTTGATCACGACATGGACGGGTTCATCGACGCAGGCATGATTCGCACCATGGCTGTCATTGGCGCCGTGTTTCTCTGGGCGCTAGCTTTCTGGTGGTTCTTTATTGGTGTTTTGGCTGTGTTGGCGAGCAGACCGAAATATTTCCATTTGGGGTGGTGGGCGAGTGTGTTTCCCAATACGGGATTCACGTTGGCGACGATTAGTATTGGGAATGCGTTCAAGAGCGATGCGGTGCTGTGGGTGGGGACGGGCATGAGTTTGTGTTTGTTGGGGACGTATTTGTTTGTGTTGGGGAACCATGTGCGGGCGGTGGTGGTGCAGGATATTTGTTATCCGGGGAGGGATGAGGATGTGGAGGATCATTAGATGGTCAGTTTGTTTTGTTGTTTTGTTTTGGTTTCTTGGGATTTTGAATACTGGCAAGCGACAAGTATGCTTCGTTCTGTGATTTAGATTTTATTTGTGTTGGTGTTAAAAGGTGGCCGGGCGGCAAGCGATGTTTGGCGATCAACTTTTTTTTCATTTCATTTTATCTCTGATTCTTATAGACTTCGAGCTGGACTTGTCGTTCTTCATTGTGTTTCTTGTATGGGCATGGCATGGCTTGATAATACCACCACGGACGGACGGACGCTTAGATGTTGGATAATATACTCCGACGATGGAGAGAGACAGACTCAGTTAGATGTTAGATTTCATCAGAACTCGGCCAATGGAAAAGACTTAAGACTTCTTATGATGACAATCCAGCTTCTTCTTCTTCTTCTTCTTCTTCTTCTTCTCGCCTTGTCTTGTCTTGACCATTATGAGATGAAATGAAATGAGTAGGTACTTACACCAATAGCAAATGAGACGGAGTGCCATCTCTTCTCTCTCGCGACAATGCGCAAAGCATCAACGCAACGCAAGTGTCTAGCAACCGCAGACTGCAAGTAAACAAATCAATATCCTTTTATGCTACGCTATGTCAATTCTTTAACATATACAAGTCCAGTTTGGTATCATTGGCCTTCTCCCGCTGTTCTCTCCCCACCTCCCCTTTACTTTACCCTTCTGCTTTTCTTCCTCTCTTTTCAGAATCTCTCCATCTCTCTTCTTTCTTCACACTGACAAGGTATCCTCATCACCGCCCTCCAACAGCCATCCCAGCTCTCCATCCACCCCTCGTCCCCCTTCCAAGACCCCTCTGCGGCATCCCACCTCCATAATTCTGCAACCGCTCCCCAATCAGATACGCCTCATCCCTGATCCTCATCTTCCAACTCTGGAACACACCCAGCAGGCCCCACACCGCCGCCGCAGCCAACAGCAAAAGTGCTGTAAGCGGGAAGCTGCGCCGGTAGATGAGCACGACGTAGGCGTCGTAGAGAGTCTGGTCCACCACGCCGTCGACGTTAACGGCTTGAGGGTGGCGAAGAGTCAAAGTCTCCGCCAGGCTCCAGGAGATCATAAACTTGGCGAAGAGGGTAGGAATGGCCATAGCGACGGTCCAGAGGAGGATGGCAGGGATGACGAATGCGCGGGTCAAGACCCCGGCGTTGGGGTTGAACCAGCCACGGCGCAGCACGGCCTTGGTAGCGAGGGCAAGACGGCTGCCGCTGAACCAGGTGGTAATTCCCCTTACCGAAAGCTTCAGGTACAAAAGACCAATGGTCCAGGACTGCATGACGCGGATGGTGTGGCGCGGGTTGAGAGCGGCCGCGTGTTGGATGGTGACCTGCTTGATGTCTTGGGCGATGGGAACGCTGTACATGAATTCGTGCAGGGGCATCATGATGTAGAGCTCGGCAACGGAGGCGATCATGAGGGGAAAGACGATCAGGAGGAAGACGTAGGAGTAGATGATCTTGGCGATGCGGGTGATGACGGCCAGGCTGCGGCGGACTGCGCCGTTGTTGAAGACCGATGCGACAGCTGCGGTGGTCCGAATCTTGGCGGTCTGAGAAAGGGACCGGATGTTGATGAGCGCGTAGACAATCACCCCCAACACGTGGATGCCGATGCCAAAGGCGTAAATGTCATTCGTCCTTACGCCCTCCGGGATCAAGAGTTTGAACATCCAGCGGCCAAAGACCAAGGGGATAATCGTAATGCCGACGCCCGTAGCGGCGGCAAACAACCAGATGAGGAGAATGAAGAAGAAGATGCGGATTCGAAAGTGCGGTGGGACATAGACCAGACGGTACTGCGTGGTCGAGTAAAGGTCGGTCTCGGGTACATCAGGCTTGCCGTCCAGTCTCTCATTCCTCTCCGTCACCTCAAGGAACACCGTCTTGCCCTTGGGAATCTTGACCTGGTCAGATGCCGGAGCGCGAACGAAGCGGCCATCAGGAATCAGTTGCTTGGTATTGACCAAGTAATCCTTGAAGCCTTCTTCAGGAGACAGTTTCCTGGTAGCAGCCTCAGCCTCAGACGGCACATACCCTCGGATATTCGGTGATTCAGGTTCGGACTCGGAAGTCTCAGCCTTGGTGCTTTCGGCCAGGAACTTGGGCTTCCACGGTCTCACAATCCCATTGGACTCATCCAATTGAAGGAACATAGCCTGCCACCATGATACCTGGGCATCGGGGCCTCTCTCAATCATGCGCAGACGGCCTTCTTCATCTGCCTTGCGCTCCCCGAACAGGAACCAAGTAATCCGCAAGCACCGGCCGCAAGTGCGAAACCACCAAGTGTACATAGCATGAAGTCCATCACCAGGTTTGAAGAACTTGACGGCCAAGGGCATCAAAAAGTTGTAAAAGAGAAGATCAAGCGGGAACTCGAGCACTGGCTCGTTGGACGAGTAGTGAATCGGCAGGACATTGGGCAAAGAGAGCGCCAACCCCCAGACCACAGCACCCAGACAGATTATGACAAGCGCGCCGTAGACGAGAGCAGAAAAGGCAATCTTCCGCAACTGGGTCGTGACATTGCGCTCCAGTACGTCGCGTACCGGGTGGAACTCGGGATCGTCTGGGTCGCGGATGAAGTAGAGAACTCCACGGCGCATGATCTTGCGGCACATGGAGACGAACAATGCAAAGTGGAACATGTAAGCCGTACCCACGAACCAGTGGACGAAGATCGATGTCATGGGAAAGTTGAGGGTAAATTGGAGGCGAGACATGAGGGTGGCATTTTCGAACAAGGGCAAGAGTGCAATGTCCAAAAGCATTCCGCAATAAAGCGGGAAGACGAGCATCTCGATGCCAATGATAAGGATGACCTTCATCACACCGCTTGCCTGGTTGAGCGCGTCGATGAGAGCTGCCTCCCATTCCTGTCCGGTTGGGCTGGATGATATGGGTCCGCCATGACGCAGGTACAAGACCGCCGCGATGTAAATCGTGAGGTAGCCGGCAAGGATTGCCCAAAATCTGTCTGTGCCATTCCAGTATGCCAATGCTGGGTCAATGGTATGACTCGCGTCAGGAAAGTTGACGTTGATGACCAGGTTAGGCTTCAACAAGGCAGTCGGCAGAGTCTTGAGTGCGCCCAACGCGAATGTAGTCGCGTTGCTCGCAGCGGAGAGCACTATAGGAGCTTTGGTAGAGTAGTCCCCTCCAAAAAGGAAGACAAGCGCGGAGCCCAGGGCGGTAAAGCCGGAAAAGACTTGCCCCTTGACCGACAATAAGGCTTCATGACTTACCGCAGAAAAGGTGTGAATCTCTGACATGGATACGCGGCCGAGCTCGTTGATGACCGTATGTCCAACTCGCTTGGCGGCGTTGGTCATTTCAACATGTGGATCAAGAATCGCTGCGGCGTGGCGGCTGCCGAAGAGGAGTTTCGTAGCCAGGCGAGCCACACCACCCAACCCTAGACTGGGATGCACCAGAGATAGCGCGTGGGAAACGAGCCCGAAGGCAATGACAACCATGTCCTGAATGAACCTGCACAGACTATAGAGGATCCAGACTGGGCGCATAGGCTTCGCAATGAACCACAGCGAATAGCGACCGATGTTGTATGGAATGAACAGTCCGAGAAAAATGGTAGCTGACACGAGCAGAACGCAGAAGATGGCGTTTTGGAATAGGCCAGCCAGAGGCCCGCGCATGCCAAGAAGCTCCAGGACGCCCTCGAGGTCTTCGGCATCATCAATGGCGTCTTGTTCGAGGCCGATTGCTGCTGCGGCGTCATCATCCTGGTCCAAGTCATCATCGTTGTCAAGTCCAGGGTTATCGCGAACGTCCACGTTGTCTTGGTCGTCCCGTCTCATCAAAGCGTCAGCGATAATATCAATAGCATCCTGTTGCGCCTGATCCGCCTCAACGCCTTGCCACATGAAATCGGTCACTCTAGGGACGAATCCACGAGGTTGAGGAGGTTGTGCGGGGCTATCTGCCGTGCTCTCGTCGAGGTTGGGCCAGGATATATCTGTCAATGCTTGTGGTTCCGCCTGACGCTCTGGGTTAAGGTTGGTTCCCCAATGTTCTGCTTCCGTGGGCCGCCTGATGTGTACATGGGCATCAGCGGCTGTATCCCTATTGCCATCTTGGCTACGATTCTCCTGGAATGACTCGGATTCTGCTGGACCGGCCAGTGAAGCGAGCAAAGGTTCGACCTCGGTGTTGGAAGAATCATTGTCATTAGTGAGATCTGGGGGCGTTGCAATAACCTGAGAGGCCTTTTCTTCCGTGGATGAACTGTTCGGGTCATCTTCTGGTAAGTCGCTAAAAGACCAGCTGTTGCTTCCCAGAGGATTGGTGTACATTCTGATTTCGGGCCCATCTGTATTAGCGCGAGGCCTGGCCGAAGAAGCGAGAATCTCGGAGTCCGACTCGGTGTCGAAATCATCAGTCGCAACGCCCTTGCCCTTGTCCCTAGAACCATCTCCGGCTTTCTCACCCTGATGATCATCTTCTTCCAAAGGATAGCGCCAGTCATCAAACGGATCGGGTCGTGGAGCGGCAGGAGTGCTGTCCATCTCCAAGTTGTGGCCTGACGGTCTCCCTGCTGCGCTAGTACTGGATTCCGCTGCGGAAGAGTTGAGGCCATCATTGTAATTTGCCTGAACTCGAGCGGCGCGCTCCTTCATGGTCTTGGTAAGAGCTATCCAGTAAGCCAACCTTTCCTCCAAACCACGCTCCTGGGCTAGCTCCACGATTCGGTCCGGGTTTCCGCCGGCCTCTCTGTAAAGATTGAGATACTCGTCTATAGTTGATGAGTCTGATTCTCCGAGTTCTCTTTCCAAGTCCGAAGCATAAGGATTGTTGACGGGTTGCCTGTCAGGCGGGGCTCTAGGCTGGGGAGGCTGAGCATCCCAGCCATGTTCGTCGTCAGTACCTGCATCCTCCTCTTCTTCTTCTTCTTCTTCTCCGAGACCACCGTCAAGGTCACCGTTCAAGGCAGGGCCGGGAACATTGAGCGGAGCAACCTGGGGCTGCACGTTTTGAAGGTTGGCAAAAGCGGCGCGCTCGTTGATTTCCGGCTGCTGTTGAACAACGTAATCTCGGACAAGAATAATCAAGATGAAACAGACAACAACAAGGACGGTGATGATCTGGCCCTCGAGTACCGCAATGATGTTGTTGTTGACGGTCGGGTTCCGAGTCAGGTTCTTTAAAAAGCCGACCTCGCTGAGAAGCGAAGGTGAATGGGCCAATGATGCATTGCTGTAAGGTGAAGCCGCTTGGTCGATGTACAGAGTCGCAGTAACGTTATTAGCGAGCTGACTGGGGATCTCCTTGAGGGGCGGGGGAGGCCTGTCCACGATACCACCTGAGCCAAATATGGTGCGAAGCAAAAGGGAAAGGAAGGAATGGCCTGCGCCAGAACCGGCACCAGTAAGGCTGTTTACGAACTGGGTCGAGTTCAGGGGCAGACGTCCCAACACGGCCCCCATGCTAGCTGGAGACGTGTGGGCGACAAAGAGTGGACTAGCTGGACATACGGTGGTGCCGTAAGCCCTGACGGAGAAGCCGTTTGAAGATGATGTGTTTTGAGACCTTGAAAACACAGCCGGACCTCCCCAGCCTTCCTCACAGAGCCAGAACAGCAGGGCCCATACCGAGCGCATAAAGTAGGGGAGCCACCCAAGCCAGACACTAACGACGAGGGCGGCCCTTGCCCAAGCGAGGAGCTTACGGACCGAGTACTTGAACATGTGGGCGACAAAGATATGGGCGGGGACGGTCCTGGGCATGTCGGGATCGTAGAGCTTGGTGAAGCGGAAGGGCGTCTTGCACAGCTCGCAGTGTTTCCTCTGGGTCTGGGCGAGCCATTGCATCAGACATTCTTGATGGACCCATTTGATACTTCCACTGCACTTGCACGGGTGGTACAAGGGGTCGTCGGGAGAGGCGTCGCCTCTGCAGATACGGCATTGCTCGGATTCGCGCGGGTTGTTGTGGGGTTGCGAATGAGTGTGGGAGTGACCGCCGCCCGAGGTGGTGGTCCATGTCGAGATGGAGGCTGATCGCGAGTTTCGCAGTCTGGTGTTTGGAAATCGGACAGGGTCGGGCTGGTCCTGGCCGAAGCCCGGAAGAGCGGTCGGGTCGGCGGGGTTAGCGTCGCCCATGGTGGAAGAAGCCCAGGGAGCGCAAGTTGTTGCCAGCAGCACAGGGGCGCCGTTTTTGTGTGGTGTTGTTGTCGAGTGCCGGTCAGATCATGAATTGGTCTTCATTCTTTAAGCCTTGGGCGGGGCGAGTCCGCTGACTCTTGTTGTCTGTCGTGAATTTTTTTGAATACTCGAAGATGGATTCGGCCTCGGTCTCGAGAAATGCCGATTAATGCGAAGCTTGGATCAAAAGTCGTCGGCGGGAATGTTGAGAGAAGACGCGATGGGGAAGACGGAGAAGTCGGCGACAGTTGAAGTACTCGTCGGGTCGCAGGCGGGGTCTGTTCGAGTTGTTGGAGACCGAGGGCAGGCAGGCACCCAGTCGCCGGATGACAGTCGAAGAAGCAATGGATATCGAGTTGATCACAGCGAGCAGTCGCGGGAGTCACGACAGTGGCGACAGAGGGTGACGACTGGCTCTGAGCGAGATGGCGCGGTCGTGGCCCGGGGTGAGTGGTGGTGGCAGCCGACGGAGTGAAGTCTGGAAAGTATTGTGAATAATTTAATGGAAGAAGAGGAACAACGAAGTGAAGTGACTGACAATGAAAGTTTCCGTCTCCAGCGTCGAAAGCGGTCCTTGTTCGGGAAAGTGTCGTGCAGTGGAACTTTCAGCAAAGCCCAGGCTAGAACTAGACCCCGGCTCGGAACCGCCAGGTCTCACTCGGGCCCGCTGGAGGGATCGTTAGGTAAGCAAAAAGGGTATAGCGCGCTAAAGGACAGCGAGGTGCACGGGCCAAGTGATTCAATGATAAGCGGCACATTCGATCACAACTTGGGTTTTGTGCTTCAATTGAACGTTGGCATGACATAACGGTGCAGTGCCGGCTGCTGCATAACTTGTGTAGCTTTCCACTCTCTTTACTTGTCGTGTGTCAGACTGACTTTCCGGCTGTTTTTTTCACAAAGGACAAGGACAAGATCTTGGACTTGAGCACAAGGCCGGCCTTGCTGGCTTTTGAGCATCATCACTCACAAGAAAAGGAAATTTGGAAACCAAGAATACGTAGCCCGCCTGATATGCAAGAGAACCCATGGCCAGTGCACATTCCAGGAGACGCGACCAACATGACATCCCCCCGTCCATGACCTTGATGGTAGATATCTTGACTGATCAACAGACACGGCCAATCAGGAAATATCCCGTGTCCAGATGTTTGGTATGTACCATAGTAGGTAGATATGTTTTCCATCGCTTTGGCGGTGCATCTCAACCAAGCACGCTCACTCACCACCACCTTCAAGGCTCAATGACGTCTGTGGGGCACGCTGTGGCACGCTACAGGTAGGGTTGAAAAAGCCAAGAAAAGACGGGAGAGGGGAAAGCGGGAAGCTGGAATTGAAGGAGGGAGGGTGACGTTGTACCTAGGTCCTGTCTGTTAAGTACCTTACATATATCCCCAAGTCTTGATCTTGACCTCTGGAAAAGAAACTAAACAGACTTTTACTTTTTTACCTTTTCTTCCAACCCAGAAACACCGTCAACAATCTTTGTCGGTTTGTTGATTGTGCGTTGAGATCTGAAGAGACTCTTGAAGAACAGGTACCTCGGCTACGGTAGCATCACAGGTTTCGATACCAGGCACGTATCATACAAGGTACGTACAAAAGAAGTCCTTAACGCTCTGACAGACTGTCGCGTGCGGAGAATACCTGAAACTGACCATGGAAAAGGAACTCTGTCCCAGGCAAAGAAAACATACCTCTACCAAAACAAGACAAAACCTCAACCCCTTGCCCTCCATCTCCTCGCTCTGTCTCAGGACCTGGCGACTGCTTCAGTCTATCTACCTTACCTTATCTCCATATCTCAACTCGGATTCTGGTAGAGGTGACGTAAAAGTAGTGTACGGTACGGTAACACCCCCCCCCCGGCCACTGTTAGGTCCCGTCCCATTCCATCATTGGCCCCGACCGGGAGCATGACCTGAGCTAACGGAAAGCGTGCTGTAGCAGCGGGAAGCACCGAACCAACGCCTGGAACCACTCACCAACTGGAACGAGCCCCGCGCCAGTCACTAAGTAGCATCCATTTTCACAGTCACGGCCCGGACCTTGACGTGATCACTGCCCTGGCATCTGATCCCCGTCCTTTTTCTCTCTTTTCCATCTTCACTTGCGCCGCCGCCTGTCCCCGGGGACCTATTACCACCAACACAACGACGCAACAAACAACACCACAATTTGTTTGATGATTGCGCTTGTCCAACCCTGAACGCGCTTAACAAAGCGAGCTATCGACAACCATCTCACATATTCGATCGCGACGTCACCAATCTGCTCTTCACAGTCACCTAGCCCGGTGCCTCAAGAGCCTGCGACCATGAAGGATGCAAACGGCTCGGTGAACGGCGGTCCCGAAGGCCCCATACCAACTCTCAATGGCCTCAATGGCATTAATGGCCTCAATGGCTACTCCAAAAAGGGCGTCAACGGTCCCATCAAGCCCACCCTCAGCCACTCGGCCAGCCCCAGAGTCACACCAAGACAACGCCCACGCAGTCGGCCTGGCGTGATAGCGAGGACGTTCAACGTTGTAGCCAGGTAACTATCTCGTATGATTCCCTTGGTCATGTTGGCATATCGATCTAACTGCTGTTTCTTCTTCTTCACAGACTCGTCACCTGGTACACCATCCTCACCATCCTCTTCCGCTGCCCCGCCTCGCTCAAGGAATGCGACAAGTCTTCTCCGCGCATTTGCAAGACCTACTTTGAGGTCAAGCAGACCGTTGCGCCGCACATCGAACCGTACTATACCGCCTACGCCGCTCCCTACGTCGACCTCGCGAGACCCTACTACCATGTCGTCGACCAAAAGGCCATTGCTCCCGCCCTGGCATACGTGCAACCCAGAATCCAAAAGGCCCACGGCTACACCAAGACGCAGTGGGAAAAGTCCCTTCAGCCCCAGCTTGTCAAGTACCAGAAGCTTGCAAAGTCCCATTACGAACAGAGCGTGGGTCCCCATGTCAAGCAGCTTTCCACTGCCGCCGCCCCATACTATGAGATTGCGCGCACCAACGCCCTGCAGACCTACCATGGCGCTGTTGTGCCCGCGTACCACTCCGTCGAGCCCTACCTCCACAAGGCCTACAAGGCCGTCTCGGCATTCACCGCCAGCACCGTGATGCCCTCGACCCGCTGGGCCTGGAACAAGACTAGTCTCTTCCTCGATGGAACCGTCATGCCCCATCTGAGGGTCGTCTACGCTGAGAATGTCGAGCCTCAGCTGCTCAAGATTGGCCAGCGTCTTGGTCGCCATACCACAGGCAACAAAAAGTCGGTGCCCAAGCCCCCGGTGGACTTGTCCTCTAGGTTGGTGGCGACGCATTCTCCTTCATCACCGTTATCGACAAAAAGAGTGCTGACTCGAACGCGTGCCTCCAGCACCAAGACATCGACCTTTAGCAAGCCCACGCCGGCCACTACCGCTGCTTCGACCCCTTCGTCTCACGCCGAGTCTACGATCCAGGTGGCTGCTGCTGAAGAGCAAAAGGTCCTGAATACAGAGCACCATGTTCCCGAGAACCGTATACCCCCTCCCGAGATCGATGAGGAGCTCGAGAAGGAAGATCCCGCTCGCCGTAGCGCCCGTGAGACTGTCGCTGCCGATCTTCAGGACTGGCAGGAAAGGTACTCCAAGGCCGCTGACCAGGGCGCTTCCGAGATTTCGGCCAGAATTTACGAAATCACCAAGAAGATGATCCGCCGTAACGCCAAGGTTACCGGCAAGGCTCTGCTCGATGAGCTCCAGACTACGACGGTTTCCGAGCTCGTCCAACTGCGTCGCAAAATCTTACAAATCATCGGGGCTGTGAAGAAGGAAAACGCCTCCGTCGATGAAGGCCGCGATCAAATTGCCGCGGTTGTACGTCAGGCGGGCATGTCCATCAAAGAGAGAGCTCAGGAGGTCCGTACCTGGCATGAGAACTACGAGGCCGAGATGCAGTCCGCTATTACCAACGCTGCCGAAGCCCACTTCAGCATCCTTGCCGACATCAGAGACCTGGCCTTGCAGAAGCTCGGTATGAAGTGGGCTTGGATGGATGGGGTCACTTACAAGGACTGGGCCAAGTACCATGAGCTCAAGAGCCGTTTCGAGGACTGGAACAACGACCTCAAGAACCTCATCGTTACCCACCCTGGTCTCGAGGCTGCTCAGAACGAAGCGGCTGCTGTTGAGGAGGAGGCCATGAACACTGCTGCTTCCGCTGCCAAGGAGCTTGCTCGCTTGAAGCAGGTTGCTCTTCGCAAGCTGGAAGCTGGCGACGACTCGGATGAGTTTGAGAGCACTGTCGCTCAGCAAGCTGCCGAGCATGTCGAGTATGCTCAGGATGCTGCGGCCAGTGTCGTTTCCGAGGCTAGCGAGTCTGTTATTGCTGCTGGTGAAAAAGTTTCCGACGTCGTTGAGGAAGGCGTCAGCCGCGCTGCTGAAATTGTGTCTGAGGCGACTGAGGCTGTCGTCGGAGCCAAGGACTCGGCTGCTGACAAGATGGAGGAGCTTGTGGATGACGCCACCTCCCCCGTTGTTGAGGCTGCCTCTTTGACGTTTGAGTCTGTCGAGAGCGCAACTGACAATGTCAAGGAGTCTGCTGCCACTGTACTGAGCGAAGCCTCCGAGGTCATTATTGCTAGCTCTTCCACCGAGACCGAGACTGTTGAGTCAGCCAGTGTGGCGTCCGAGGAGGCTGCTGATGTCGCTGAGCCTGCATCCAAAACCCCCTCTATCGTTGAATCCCGCCCTGATCTCGCATCTACTGAGATCCTCGAGGAGACCCCTGTCATTGTTGGTAACACCACCGTGGCGGAAAAGGAGGGCCCTGCTCCTGTCGAGCTCCCCGTTGAGGAGGAGGCTGAGGTAGAGTCTGATATCATCGTCTCTGAAACTCCTGAGCCTCCTGCCACCACCGTCAAGTCCGCTTGGCTCGGAGCTGCTGCTCAGTCGGTGCCTACGCGTCAGCCCATCATTGACGAAGATACCTATGACGATGTTTCTGAAGCCATGGAGAAAATGCGTAACGATGTCAAGTCCGTCTACTCGTCCGCTATGTCTCTTGCCAACAACCAGTATTCTGATGCCCTCTCCCTCATCTCTGCCCAGATCCGCGGCACCCCTGAGCCGGCTCACCAGCAGATGCTCGCATCTGTCACTCAAGCTTACAGCAACGCCATGGCCTCCGCTAGTGTCCGCCTTGACAAGGCCTTGAAGCTTGCCTCCAAGCAAGTATACAAAAGCACACCCACTGAGACTTTCAAGATCCTCCCCACCGCCGTTCCCGTCCCCAACATCCCCTCTTTGGACTGGGAGCGCATCCAATCCATTGCCGCCCAGCGCCTTGAGCAAGGCCGCTCATGGGCTGAGGAGCAATACGAAAGCGCCAAGATTGCCGCCGGCCTCGCCACTCCTACTCCTTCCACTCCCTCTGAGCATGTCCAAAAGGCTCTTGAGAACGCCAGACATAACTACTACGCTGGCCTTGGCGTCGCTCACGCTCGGTATTCCGAATTTTTGGCTGCCGCTTCGTCGGCTTTCAGCTCCATGACTGCCACCCCTACACCCACTGACTTTGTCGGCACTGCTTCGTCAGTCGCTTCTGTCGCCACCGAGTCCGCTGCCTCTGCGGCTTCTGTTGTTACTGACAACGCTGCCTACGCGGCCTCCATCGCCTCGGCATCTGCTGCCTCTGCTGCCTCCGCTGCCGCCGCCTCGGCCGCATCAGTCGCTTCCGCCGTTAGCGACGGCGCTGCCTCTGCTGCTTCGATCGCTGGGGAGAACGCCTCCTCCCTCGTTTACGCCGCGGGTGACAAGGCCTCCTCTGCCGCTTCCGTCGTGTCCGAAAACGTTGCCGATGCCGCCTCGGCCGTGTCCGAATCCTGGGATTCTGTTCTAGCCCGGATCTCCATCGAAGTCTACGGCGCTCCCACCCCCACTCCCTGGTACCAGACTGTCATCTCCGTCGCTAGCGCCGCCAGTGCCTCTGCGGCCAGTGCTGCCAACCAATACGGCGGTGCGGCAAGCGATGCCGCAGCTGATAATGCTGCTTCGATCACTAGCGCTGCTGGTGCTGCTGCCAGCGCGGCGGGCGAGTATGCCGCTGCTGGTTCGGATGCTGCCGCGCAACAGTATAGCGTCGTGAGCAGCATTGTCAGTGAACTGCTGGTGGGCAGGGAGCCGACGTTCTCTGAGAGCGTTGTGAGCAGACTCAAGGGAGTCTACGCTACTTCTATCCCGGAGGTTGTGGTGGGCGCGTACGAGAGCGCAAGCAGCTTAGCTAGTGAGGCCAAGGAGACTGTGGTGAGTGTTGCTAGTCAGGCTTCGGAGGCTGTTGTGGGACACGATGAGCTCTAAAACACGAGTCGGTGTTGAGGATGTGGGGAGATGAACGGGGAGAGTATGAAGAGGAAGAAGACAGAGAAGAAGGAGGACAGAGAGATGAAAAGAAAAAAAAAGGGGACATTGATAGCGGGAATGATGAGCGAAAATGTGACTGATGGATGAGACCGATGGGGAAAAAAGAGAAGGGTGTTTTTTTTTTTCTTCATTTTTGTTTTTTTTGTGTTCTTGATATTGTTAGCTTATACCCCCTCCCACTTGACCATACGGTTTCAGTTTCTTATGGGTTGTTTCTTTCCGTTTGTTAGTATGATGTATGATCAATTGCAATTTTTCCTTGTTCATGAGCCATATCAAGGGAACGTTCTACCCGGGTGAAATCTGCGTGATGGATGTAGACGTAGAGAGTTGGTATGTAGTGCCAATCTCATGGGATCTTGTAAGGACGTATTGTATGTACGTACGTGGCTGTTAAATATGTCCATGATAGAAAATTTCACAAGTCATACGTTTGTTTCGCTATTTCAAGTCCTGTCTGTGTTATTCTCTCTTTGACATTCTCCGAAGTGAAAAAAGAATGAATGCTGTTTAGCGCCTTGGTGTGTCCTGCTTTGGGAGAGGAGACAGTAACTTTGACACGGAGTTTGAAGATCGAAGTTGTATTCCAAGTGTAGATGACATCAGGCAAGAAATGTTACGGCACTAACGCACTTTTGGGCATGATACAAGTTGATGAGTTGTTACACTATTATTGCATCCAGTTGACAATTTTAAGAAGCACCATGATACTTTCACTCTCCTCAGCATGATCGGGTTCATCTACTTGATATACATGTTAATAAACTCAACCGATAGCTTTCGTAGGTAGTTGCCCCCCTCGCGTTATATTCTTCTACTTTGTATCTAGTCTATTCCGTCGATAACTGAAGAGAACTAAGTGGTGGTGGTTCGGATGATGGTGGTGGTGCCCGGTGTGTTGTTGCAAGGATGTGTGTGAATGAGATAGACTACTAACAACCCCGCCCCAAATCTTTTCGGTATGCAGTTAGTGCAGTATCTGAGCAGCCTTCCATTTGTTTCACTCGCTTACCGTCCGCTCGTCGACTTTTCAAGGTACAAAAGGGAAAATCGACCAACGTCTAGCATGAACACCATAGAGGGCCAGGCACCTATTGTAAAGGGAGATTCATTATTCAGGTATTCGTCACCCAAGATCCGGCCGGCGACTTATGGTTAGAGGGGTACCTAGCCCCCCCCCCCAACCCCCCCAAAAAAAAAAAAAAAA